TTACTAGTACATTAAAATCTCCGAAAGTGAAGTTATTATTTTCACGAAAAATTCGACTTGCTAATTTTATGTTAATTCGACGTTTTAAGTCACTCTGAATCGTTAAAGATCAAATTTGGAAATTTAAAAAAAAAATTCTCTTTAAAATAAATGATTTTTATGAAACGATTGTTTGTGTATAGATTTATTGTCTTAAAGAAAATACTAAAAAATTATATTACAGTCATATGATAAATCGTTTAATTTTAAAAATTCTTCAAAGTTTTCAAAGTAAGAAACGCTTTGAACGAGAGTTTTGTCAACATTTTCTCAAAAACGGCTGAATCGATTTTGACGATTCAAAATCCTTTCGATGAAACTTGATAATCACTCGCGTAGGTTAGTTCTAATAAGCAAAAAATTGCAAACATGTTTGTCCACGTTTTCGTAATATATTCGTATATATATGTCTGTTTATATATTACGCTGTTGTATGTTTGTATATATTTCTTTTTACTTTTCATTTCTTATGTTTTTCTATCTGTTTAGTTATACTTGTTATTGTTATAATTATAATACTTGTATCTATAGTTCTTTTTCCAATTTCTGTCATTTTTTCCTAGTTTATATTAATTTTTCAATGTTCATTCTGTAAATCCACTGATGATGACATAAAATCCTATGTCGCACCAGTTTCAAACATTCAAAAACCATTCAAAGAATTGTTCAGGGAGTTGTGCTGACTAGTTTTTAGCAAGGATCTTCTGGACTCTTTCTTTGTAATTAATTCCACATTTCTGCATTTCTAATAAAACTTACAATTACAATGGCGATAGTATTAGTAAAAGCAAAAACAATATTTTTGAAGTAAATATTTGCAAAAAAAAAAAATAGTTTGCTAAATGGCTAAATCCCTATCGGGAAATTTTTGCAACTTGCCTCAAGATAAACTGCTACTTAAACCTAGCTGCTTTTTCAATGTGGATATTATAAGAAGTGAAAATTCTTGTTTATTTGTACAGAAACCAAAATTTAGAGAAAAATAGGCAGAGTGCTGTATAGTAATCTATTATTTCATCTGTATCAAAATATTTTAAAAGATCCTAAGTGCACACTTGCATAATATCTCAAACTAACCAAATGTACACATGTAAAATAAACATCTTAGTTTTATCCTCCATGAAGTAATGCCTTAAGGCGGTTTCCGTAAGGACAACATGCACGAGAAAAGCCTAACTTATAGAGCTCCTGCGTGGTGTATGACCAATAAACAAAACATGAATAAATTACAAATTATACAAAATAAAGCATTGAGAATGATACTCGGAATAAAGAGAAACCCTATCACTTATGATTATGTATCCAATCGCTACCTACACAACCGACTGAATATAGCATTTATATATGAAATTAAAAAGCAAACAAGGATTTTTTTTGAAAAATGCAAACATAGTAATAACCCAACTATTACGGATATTGGATCTATAATTCAAGATATGTTTGGTATAACAATTACAACCTACCGACAGTCATTCTTAATAATTAACACTATAAGACACCTCCAAAAATCAACAGTGTAATATGTTTTTTTACTTCCCGTAGGGTAAGTTATTGTAATGGGCCGAAAATCGGAATTGAAAATTTTTACATTTCTCGACGTTTTGAAGGTTTCTGAACGTTTTGGCATACCTCAGAAAAATGGATGTGTGTGTGTGTGTGTGTATGTATGTGTGGATACAAATTTCCAGTCACGTTTTAGGGCGCACGGATCAACTGATTTGAATGGTTCAAAAACATCCGATTCCTATTGATAGGGAAAAGAGCTGATTATTTTTGGCAAAGGCAGGTCCAGCCGTTTCGGAGATACGGAGCAAAGAGTGCAGAAAATAGAAATCGTATTTTTGAGAGAACGGAGTATCCGATTTGAATGATCTAAAAAACATTCAATTAGTAATGATTGGGAGAAGTGTTTATTAGTTTTTGGCAAAGGCAGGCCCAGCCATTTTGAAGATACGGAGCTAAATATGTAAAAAATGGCAGTTTTTGAGAGAACTAAGCGTCCGATTTAAATGATTCAAAGAACTTTCTGCTTGTCTTAACAATATAATCGATTTTGGTAAAAAAAAAAATTGTCCCATTTTTTTTTTTTTTTTTTTTTTTTTAGTTTTTTGTATATCGAAAATATTTATTTTTAATTTTGACTATAGTTCTAATATACTTTACAAATAATTTCAACTCTGCAATTCAGTTTATATAATATTTATAAATATTAGACAATGTTACAATATTTATAATAATCTATTTGAAATCATTCAGTAATCCTCGAACATTTCGAAGAGGTACGGGAAGTTCCAGCAATTTGCCTTAAGGCACGATGCCACCCACCCCACTAGTTGTCATTTTTTTCATTATCTATTTAATTTACTTAATTTATACAATCAATAATGTTTCAAAAGTTATTTATCAATGAATTGTGTTAGTATCAGATGATAGGTATACAAAATCTTATATACTCATTTTTTCTTTTATGTAATATAATATGGAACAAATAAATCTTTTCAAACAAACAAACGAGAAAAACCGAGTATTTAGATGTTATTGTTATTATTGAGCCAGAACCAAGCAAAAATTCTACGTAATCGTTTTTTCTTTATTATCTTAATAATCAGCGTGGGGCTAGCACCAACTAGTCCCAGGTTCGCTGGATCGATTCCCGCTACCGCCAAGCCTGACATCAAGCAACTTTGATGTCAAATTTCCACTAGAGGTCATAGATCTCAAATATAGCCTCAAGTGAAAATCGCTTCTCGTGGGTATAGTTGCACATATTAAAAATGTCAGCAAATACTTCGAGTATAGATAATTATTACTTATACCTAGTAGACACGCCGCTGGGTGTTGCTACTATCATCTGGTTTATTGTTAGCAATCTCTACTTAATGTTAATGCTCATGTGAAACAGATTGCAGAATAAATTAAAAAAAAACTTTAATAATCCATATGCGCGAAATTAGAAAGTACTCCAACGTAAAGTTTCAAATCAATTAAAATTATTTTCATTTTTTGCGATTTTATTAACTTACCCAATGAAAAATCAAATAAATTTGTTTCTGTACATGTTGTTTCAATTAAATTTATTTATAAAAATATAATTATGTACATGTGTCAAATTTTACAATTGAAAAAAATATTTTGATACCAGTATTGAGTGTTATTAGTTCAATCGACAGCATCCAAATCTATGTGGTGCGAATATTGATCGCCGTGTTCAGAAAAGCTTTGTTCCACACTTTCCCTGACACGTTTTTCATATTCACTTCTATTTTCTTTGTATAATTGTGCAGCCACAGAATTAGCTGGAGAATTTGGGTTGGGTTCGCCCAACAAACTTTGTATTGAAGTCAGGATAGATGAAACATCATAAGTGGGGCTCCACTTTTTCTGCAAGATATCTAGGCAAATTCGACCATCCCCATAGACATTCGGATGGAACACTCTTGAAGTAAATCTTACAATTGGTGGTTTATGCGGATATTCTTCTGAGAATTCTAAGGTTAATTTAAAGGTCCCATCCTCGAAAGGAGTGTCTTCTACTTACACCGAAAATAACCGCGTTCCAGAGCATAATATTGTCCGTCGAGGGTGCTCCAGTCATTCCAATCAGGGGCTCATTTTGCAATCTTTTGAAATCACGCATCAGACGTCTTCTTGCTGGTGAACTCATTTTGTAATTAGGGAGCCAGTTTCGGGTATTTGTAGAAAAGATATATAAAAAAATTAAAAATAACGCACATAAATTTGTAAATTTAGAAAGTGTTGACTTAGATAATTTAATTTTTTTGACCTAAACTTTTTGGTTATGTACATTGTATTGTCACATCTGACGGATTCGGATTAACTACGATTAAGTATGTAAGTAAAATTTATGTTGTTGTTTGATGTCATTTACATTTTTTTGGTTATGCATATTATATTGGCATTTGTTTTGGTACATTTGGCATGTAAATAAAATTATTTTGTTTGTCTAATGTCATTTATGTTTGCAGATATCTTTGAAAATTCAACCGTACTTTAAATTCTACCACATAATCTGAGCATGTGTTTGATTATATATATATATATATATATATATATATATATATATATAAATATACATATATATTCGAAAATTCAGATCCGATTAAAATCCATCCCTGAACATTATATATATAATAGCTAGCAAGTACCGTTACACTACAGGAATTGCATAAATAGAGACCAAAGGTTTTGAGTAATATTCACACCTCATCGGCCAAGGAAGAACTCTGCTAGGACCCAGGAACTATGTGAATACACACAAGATGTATAATCTATATTATATAATTAAATAAACAAGTGAAATAGTAAACCTTTCTGTATTTAAAACCGATCTGAGCCTTACGCTGGGGCCTGGTCATCCGATGTGACTAAAGAAGCGAAACAAGAATCTACCTAACGTGAGTAAACAAAACATTCGTGAATTAACATAAGTGCAATTAATCCATGACAGTCGTTGATATTATCATTTTATTGGTTACACTACAAGAAGATTGAATACGTGTTGATTTTTGAATATTTATTGACATTTATATTTCATTTATGAGTAATTCTCCGGGCATTTGGTGTTTTGAAGTGTATTTATGCGGTTCCTGGTGACAATACTTGCTAGCTATTAATGTCCTGGAATGGATGCTAGTCAGAGCAGCATTATGTTGTCACACATATAGATGTAAATTGGATAGACTATGGTAGGGTAGGGCTGTGAACAAGTGTCCAATTTGAATGTTGGTAATTATATTGGCAGGTCTAACCGTTCCAAAGATACAGGGCAAAAAGTGCCAAAAATGATAACTCAGTTTTTAAGAAAACGGAGCGTCCGATTTTAATAATTCAGAAAACATTTTACTTGTATTGAAGAAATGAACAACTGGTATAATTTTTGGGAAGGTCCAGCGGTTATAGACTCTCAATAAAAATAAGTTAAAAAAGTGTCATTTGGCGGTCAAAAAGGTTTATTGGACATATGTACATCAAATTATCAGATATTTAATAGATTTACTTCTTATAGATAATTACACATTTTTTGTAATTTTTTTGGGGGGGTTTTGTACCAAAATTTTTAATTTTGAAGTTTATGTATATGGTTCAAACAAATGTCCTCAACATTTTTGACAGTATGGAATAACCGATTTGCATGATTAAAAATTCATTCGGATCGTAATCGATCACGAAGCGTTTTGGCAAAAGGCAATTTTGTCGATTCGTAGGTATGAAACGCAACGTGTGTAAAAACAGTAATGCAGTTTTTGAGAAAACGGTTTATCCGATTAGATTAATTCAAAAAAAACATTTTGCTTTAGTAGACTGTGTGCATTTTAGAAAAAATTGATTTCTTACAAAAAATTGAGAATATTCGGTAATTTCAAAAAAAATCGAATATTTTCGAAAATTTCCAATATCTCAAAATATTAGAAAAAACGTTTTTTTATATTCCCAAAAAATTTCAAATTTCTGAAAAAATTCAAAATTTTGAAAAAATGTATAAATTATCAAAAAAATCTAAATTATCACAAACCTGTAAAAGTAAACTTTTGTAAACGTACACATAAGTTGTTTATAAATACTCTCGTCGCCCAATTTAAAAAGCACTTAAGTTTACAGTATGTAATAAATAATCCTCGAATTTTAATTACGGTACGGGAAGTTCCAGCAATTTGACTTAAGGCACGATGCCATGCGCCCCACTAGTTTTTTGCCATCTAGTGTGGCTTGGACAGCAGGAAGCAAAAGAAGGTCGATTAGTACATTTTTAATTTTTAACTTTCCCTAGGGTAAGTTAAAGTAATTGCAAAACAATTCGATAATATTTTTTTATAATCTTTACCTTTCGAAGGTTACTCAGCATTTTGGCATACCTTAAAAAATTGATGTATGTGTGTATGCATGCAAGTGCGCATACAATATTAGTCGACGATTTCAAGAACACGGATCAACTGATTTGAATGATTCAAAATGTTATATTGTACGCCGCGCCTACGCGCTTCAATATCGTAACTACGCAGCCAACGTATCGCGATTGCTTAAAAAAAATGTTAAAAAACTTCCCAAATATTAAAAAATTTCCCAGTATATAAAAAATTCCAAATTTTTTAAAAAGATCATTTTTTTCAATAATTTTAAAATTCTCAAAAATATATCTCTAATAAAATTCTAAAAAAAATTAAAGTTTTAGCAATTTGCTTTTACTCCAGTCAATGGAGCGTCTTATGTCTGAATTTTTTTTACTGTGCTTCGATTTGCATTTTGGAATTAGGTTTATATACCCTCAAGTTTAAAAGTGAATACAATTCGAACTCCGCCACCATCCCCGGGAGATGACGCTTTTTCTTAGTTGTGTAATAATAATAATAATAATAAATAAATATATTTCAGTAGATATATATGTGTACATAGCATTTCTCATTTTGGATTTTTACCCGTAGGTATTTCATCCTTCATATTTGTTCTATCAATACAATAATAAGTATTTCAGATATACAAGTTGTGACATAATTCTGTGACAAAAAAGAGGAAAGAAAATTTATTCCCCAAAAAAAATCACTTAGCACTATTTATAATAACACATAATAACTCAAAAAGGAGAAAAACAAAAAAAGATTTATTCACTTTGAGGGAGAATATTTGCGTCGAGCCAAGTTTCAATTGCCGCTATGGGTCGATCAGTATATATTTGGCATGGCGTGATTGCCATACCAAATATCATCTCTTGTGTATTGGCCGAGGCCCGCGATGTTCATATTAGGATGATCCCCACATTTTAGATAAAAATTCTCAGTGAGCTTTTTTATGTAGTCGAGATTGTCGGTACGTCAGTCTGTTTGTGTATGTATTTGAAGAGTAGTAATGTCTAGTCAGTGGGTCCCTTATTTTGTTGAGTACAAGTCGTAGTGTCTTATTTGTAATGTCTGTAGTTTCCGTAAGTTAGTCTTAGTCGTCGCGTTCCATGCCGGAGCGCCGTATGTCAGTATCGGTCTTATCAGTGTCAAGTAAAGTGTTCGCTTGTTCTTCACGCTTAGCGGGCCGTTGTGGTTCAAGAGAGGTCTCAGTAGATTTAACATCCCGTAAGCCTGTCCAATTTTCGTATTAATATGTTTTGTGAAGCTGAGTCTATGGTCCAGGGTCACACCAAGATATTTGACATCTTTGGACCACTCAACTTCACAGTTTAATACTTTAATTTTGTCTAAGTCAGTCAGTCTAGTCATGGCATTTCGGCTCTTAGTAAATAAAATTGCCTCCGTCTTTTGCGGATTTATCTTGATCTGCCATTTGTCAGTATATTTCGTCAGCTTGTCTATGTGTGTCTGTATCTTTGTAGTCAGTAGCGTCGGTGATCGTGATGATTTGTATATGGCAGTGTCGTCAGCAAACGTCAGTAAGGTGGTGTCGGCGTCAGTGGGTATGTCGTGAATGTAGACGTTAAACAGTGACGGTCCCAGGATCGAGCCCTGCGGTACTCCCGCCGTCACTTGTTTAACCGTCGAAAGTCCGTTGTCTACTTGTACGGTAAAGTTACGGTCTGAGAGGTATGAGTGTAATGTTCTTGTAATGTATGGTGGAAAATTCAGTTGTATGAGTTTATGTATAAGTCCGTCCATCCAGATGGTGTCAAACGCCTTCTCGAAATCAAGCAACACCAATCCGGTATGGTTTCGTCTGTTAAAATTGAGAACAGTATTTTCTATGAGTTTTGTCAGTGGGTGTAGTGTGGAGTGTCGTTCTTTGAAGCCGTATTGTGTGTCAGGTATGATTTTGTTGTGTCTTATGTGTTTGTTAAGTCTTTTGAGTAGTACCTTTTCGGCTACCTTACTCATTGTGTTGAGGAGGCTGATCGGTCTGTAGTTCTGTGGTATGTCTGGCTGTTTCCTTGGCTTCACTATTGGAAATATGGTGGAGGTTTTCCAAGAAGCGGGAAAGCAGCCTTTTGTCATTATTCTATTTATTATCCGGGTAAGTAAAATGTAGGCGTTCGTCGGCAGTGTTTAAGTATTATGTTTTGTAGTCCGTCCGGTCCCGGTGCTTTTCTGTTCGGTAATTTTTTAACTATTGTCTTTATTTCAGAAACTGTGGCAGGGTCTATTCGTAAGTCTTTGTCCCTGTGGAGGTCAGTGAAGTTTTGAATTGTCTCGTGTACGTCTTGTTTCAGGTCTGCGTTTGACATATTGGCATTTTGTTATGTATGTTTTCAAAGTTTTTTGCCAATATTTCCGCCTTGTCTGCTGGTGTCGTTGCGTAATTGTTGTCAGTTAATTTGAGTGGAGGTATGGATGTTGGTTTTTGCGTCAGTCTTTTTGCTGTCTGCCAAATTTTGTGTGGGTCAGTATTTATGTTCTCGAGTCTTTTGGTCCAAGTGTTGTTTCGGTGATCACGTATTTCATTGGAAATAATTTTTGTCAGTCTGTTCACATGTTCCTTGAGTAGTCTGTCACCGGTACGTTGCCACAGTTTCTTTATATGATTTTTAAGTTGTATTTTCAATAAAATGTGTTCTGGCAAGTCGTTGGCTGGTGTTGTTCTTGAGTCTAGTGTCGGTATAGTCTGTTGTACGGCGTCTGTGATTGTCAGTGTAAGGTGTGTTACAGCCTCCTCAATGTCAGTGTTGGTATCGATTGGCATAGTGTGTCGTGTGTTGTCTGTGATGATGTCTCTGAAAATGGCCAGTTGGCTCTGGTGTAATCTAAAAATTTGCGTGTGGGGGTCTGGTCGACGTCTAGTCTGTCTGAAATGGTCATGAAAACTGGATTATGGTCAGAGTTGAAAAGTGTTCTTGTTATGGGTTCGGATGTTACGTGTAGATTTTTGTCAATGCCAAATCGATCGTACTGTGATGGTGCGTCTGTACGGTGGCGTATCTGGTCGGCGTGTCAGGAAAGTGTAGTTGTGCGTCTGTGGTGTTGTATTCGGTCAGGTATTCGTAAAGTCTGTTTCCGTTTTGCGTTGTTGAAGTTACAGTTCCAAGTTGTGTGTTGTGCGTTAAAGTCTCCTGCCATAAGAACAAATCTATTCGAGTCCAGTAGTCTTTGTAAGTCCGTATGTTCTAGTCTGCTTGCCGGATGTAAATCGATATTATGGTTACTTTTTGACCTCTCTTGTATACATTAATAGCTGTTATTTCAGAACCGCCCGCTGTCAGGTTTGGCACTTGCTCGTGTCTGATGTTAGACTTAATCAAAATCGCAGTGCCGCCCCATCCGCGTGCGTCGGTCTGTCTGTCGTTTCTGTAAACTTTGTAATTGTTGATATAGAGTCTGTCCGTAGGTTTTAGGTGTGTCTCGTTAATCAGTACTATGTCCAGATCGTATTTTGTTATCGTCTGTCTCAGTTCGTCAACGTTGTTTTAAGTCCATTTGAATTGAAATGCATTATTTGTAAGTCTTGCGATTGGTTTATGGTGATG